GAATTACACCAGTAAAAGGAAATCAAAATTGAGGTCATGAGATAGGTGGATTTATGCTGATTTATACCAGATAAGAGCTCTAACTCTTTACCTTTTCTTCCTTTCCAGTTGCTTTAATAAATCCGATTTATCTCTGCTTCCACTTTTAATTGTAACTACACAAGTATTCTATGAAATCTGTAAACACTCCTAATGTGAAGGAGCTATACAAAATAGTTGTGTTGTCTTTTCTCTTTCTTTTAAACACCATGCACACTGTATTGTGAAAGATTTTGCCTTGAGAGCATTGGAATCTAGGCACTTCAGTTTATCCATAGAACAGGTTCAGCACAAGTCAAGGGCAGACTTACCAAGTGTGTAATTCAGACCCCTCCTATCTAATGTGCTTCAATTTTGTTCTGAATTGGATCACAGCACCCTCCTAAGGTTAGGAGGGCAGTGCCGTCTCTATATCTATTCTTGTCCTCTGGAACCAGAAACATTACAGTAGAGTTATGATATATATCCTCTTCATTGGTAACCAGGCTAACATCTCAATTCTTTTCACTTAGGAACACCAACAGTTGCTAGCTGATAAGAGCTTTGCTTACTGGAAACCTAGGCTGTATTTGAATGGGTAGCTGTAGCAGGAGGCTTGGTGCTCCTGCTGCTTTAAGAGCAGGCAGGATGCAGATGAAGCAGATGGCAGGTGTGGCAGGGGACAATCAGGAGCCACATGACCCATAAGGGGGCTTGGCTTGCAATAGATAAGCCCAGAACCTGAGTGGGCAGGTAGTCTGGTCCTGGAGATGGCTGAGAGAACATCTTCTAGACAGGATGGCTACAGCTCCTGAATAATACCTGTGAGATTACAGCCTGTGGTAACATCAGGAGATCTGGGAGGGAATGAGGGAAAGAGGAGGTCCCAACAGGCCTGGGAGTAGGACCAGAGCCCAGGAACAGGGCAGGGAGGGCCAGAGGCCTGGGAGCAGGGCCAGAGCCTGAGTGAAAGGGGGAGAAAGGACCAGCTTGGGTCCAAGTACCTGAGAGTAGAACAGAAATGGGACCAGAGCAGGTCCAGTGCCTGGGGAATGGGACCAGGAAGGACTAAGTACCCAGGAATAGTGTGGAGATGGGAGCCAGGAGGGGGCTTGAGGCCAGAACCAGAACAGACTTAGACCCTGGAGTAGGACAGGAGTAAATGAAAACTCGCTTGGAGATCCCTGAGGCAGCCTCCCTTTCCTTAAAGGTATAATAAGTACATCAAGGCATGGCAGGTGAACAGAAGGGAAGGATCAGGGTAACGCAAGAGCTGAGTAGCCACCAGGGGGTGTCCTGGCCACCCCTGGGATGGGCCTTTGTTGCAGTGGCCTCATGTCAGAGGCTCTGTCACCAATCTATTCCCTGCAGCTACACAGTATCTTCTCTCCCTTGAACTCCAACGCAAATACTTTTTGGACCTATCTGCAAAGGCTTTCAGAAAAATAAATATGCATTTTATGTACTATTACATTAGGTGAATGTATTCTCCTAAGATGATGTTTTAGAGGAGACCAGGAGGCAGATCTCAATGGGCTCAAGCAGGATAAATTTGAAAATATAATGATATAATACAATTGAAATGGTCTTACATCTTTGTTGTCTTATAAGTGTATGGTGGAGATTGTTTTCATGAAAGGAATGTGCATGGGGATATAAAACATGATGCCAGTGTTAAAATCTTTCCTAGTAAGTTTTGCTAACAGCTGCTACCTGGTGGAATGGGAATTTGATTTTCTTTTTTACAGTGAGTGAGAGGAAAGTAATTCAATTTTCAATTAAACTTTGTAGTTTCTAAAGCTTGATATGTACCTGGCTCATGATGCCACTTGTAATGTCCATGCTGATTTCCCTGATCAAATCATATATTCAGTAGGTCATCTCAGGCAGTAGTAACACAACTTTAAACACAGTGCTCAGCATGAGGAATAAGCTTTTCTAAGTTCAATAGCTTAGCAAGTTAGTATTTGCTAAAAAAAAGTCTTCTTTCAATTATATTATGTTCAAGAATTGAAGTATTTCAAACTTGTTTCAAAGTAAGTTCATTACCAGTAATAAGACTTTTGTATTTATTTTGCAGCTGTGCCATTATATACAAAGGACCCATCTGGGAATGTATTGTAGGATACTGCATGTCTCTTGCTTTCCGTAGAAAAGCATATGAAGAGAATAAGGGAATTGGCAAAATACAGTTTTCTTGCCATTTGATTGATTCCTTTGTGGGTTGAATTTCCCAGAGTTGGCTAACCTAAGTTTGGAAAGAGGGTAATCTGAACAGGGGACTAGAGATGGCTTTTAGACCACCATTATAATTCCTCAGTCATGGAGTCTTTGGGGTCTACTGTGGTCCCTGGCACTGATTTGACTTGTATGGCTGCTGGTATTCCCCAGGATTATTTCACTTGCCAGACATGTACTGAACACTCATCCCTGGCATATGCTCTAGACCAGGGATGTCAAACATAATGTCCTATAGGCCAAATCTGGCCTGAGTAGCCCTATAATTTGGTTTCTGGTGCTGCCCTGTTAACCCACATTGGATGTGTCTACATGTGCAATGCTGCAGGTTGGGAACCCACCCTGGGCAGGCATCCATACATGCAGGGATGTGGCAGCAGATTTGCTGCTCCCACCCTCTTCAGTCCTGCACCAGCCCCCTGCAGCAGTCAGGGGGAGCTTTAGGCTCTGTGCTAGCCCAACGGTTGGCAGGGATCACAAAACCAAAAAAACAGCTGTTACCTGGCAGGGGCTGGGAGATTGCTCCTCAGAGTGGCCTGCTTCTGGGGCAGGCTTTGCCACAATATCCCCCTGCCTCAGCAGCAGGGAGTTCCCAGCCCCGGGTCCTTGATCAGGGGCAGGAGGCTTGGAAAGAGCTGCAGGGGAGAGGCAGATCCCAGCCCCCTGCCCCATCTGCCAGCAGGGCAGCTAGCAGTGAGCCCCCGGTTGGATGGAAAATCCATCCGGGGGCTTGCTGCTAGCTGCCCCACTGCTGGATTGGGGTGGAGGGCTGGGATCTGCTCCTCCCCTGCAGCTTTTTCCAAGCCCCGTGTCTCAATCACCTGATTGGGGCATGGGGCTGGGACCTGCTTTTGACCGGGACAGCTCCTGGCCAGCCTGGGGTTGCATGGGGAAGTCTGCACATGCAGCCTGGAGCTGGCTGGGGACTGCCCAAAACAGAACAGTCCCCAGCCACTTCCAGGCTGCACATGCAGACTTTCCCAAGCAGCTCCCTGCTGCTGGACTAGGGGAACATTGTCCCTACCCGGGCTCCAATGGCAGAGCCCACCCTGGCAGCCGGCAGCTCCCAGGGACAGAGAGCAATCTCCAGCCCCCTGCTGCCCGGCTGACCAGGACCAAGTTTGCTCCTGGTCAGCTGTCTACACATGCTATACTGTGCAGTAACTAATCAGGAGTAAATTTGCTACTTGTCTTTACAGATAGCAAATTTACTCATAATTAGAGCAAATTACCATGTAACAACCATGTGCACATGTGCACCGTGATGCTTACCATGCAGTAATTTGTGCTAATTTTGAGTAAATCATCTTGTGTAGATGTGCCCATTGCTATGCTGGACTGGCCCTGCACCACAAGTGGTACTCAGTGGGGCTGGGTCCTGAGCTGCGCTGCCTACTCATTGGAGCTGGTCCAGGGCTGTTCCTCACATGGCACTCTCTGGGGCCAGTGTCCCAGGCTTGCCTGGGTGGGTGCACATGTGCTGGATCACTCACGCGGGTAGGGAGGCTGTGGGCCTGATCTGGTCTGTGGGCTGACCCTGCATCACTCATCTGGCCCATTCATCACTATTGCTTGTGATGACCCACTGAATATATGATTTGATGAGTTTGACACCCCTGCTCTATACATCTCAGGCTTTGAGGGGTGAGGTCATCACATAGAGTATTTACCGTTGTCCAGGGAATCTCAAATGTATGCAGAGGTTCATGGCTGATTCTCCTTTTTTAGTTTGGCAGTTTTGCATAGCTAGAGTGGCACAGGGCAGTCCTAGTGGAAGAGGAGAGGGGAGCATGGTGAGCTCTACAATGGTCTTCTGTAGCTCCTCACTCTGAGGCCTGAGGACCTACTAGTCAGGGAAATGCTACAAAACAAATGTCAGTGACAGGATTTATAGACTCAGGTTTATACTTTCAGTAAATTACAGAAGCCAGTTGCATCAACTTATTTAACAGACCCTGAGGACAAGGACATTTTTTAACTTGGATCTTACCTGAATTTATGTTTGTGTTCTGGGCTATGGACAGAAATTAGACATAAACCAGTATAAATGATCAGAAACTAGTTCAAATATGAAACACAATAGAGGTTCAGTGCACATAAACTGCTTTCAAAATGACCAAAACCAGTTTAAGATAAACCTGGATGGATGTAGTATCGGACTTAACTGATTTAGGTTAAAGCAGTCTGTGGAACTTCTGTCCCAGATCCCTTCCAGATTCAAGTTAACTCACAGTCCCCCAGTATCCCAGGATACTTTGCACCTCCCCTACAATTACCCCCTTGCAGGGTGGCAAGCCAGCCTTGGCCCAAACTGCTTGCTCCAGCCAAGCAGGGAGGCATGCTGTAGCAACCCCCTCCCTGGCCTTTGGCCTGGGCCACTGCAGGCATGTGGCTGCATTTCCAGAGTCAAAAGTGAATGTGTGTTCACTGGCTTATTGGTTCAATCTATGCCAGTGAAGATTGACTTGATGAAACCTCTGGGCTTTTTGTGTCTGTACTCAGCCCTGATGATTATCTGTTATTTCATGTATCCTGTTGCATACATTAATTGAGATTGTATGTGATGTTTTTTCTTACTTATGTTAAGAAAATGCCAGGTGTTTATAGCATTGCTGTATTATCTAGAAATAACGGCATTGTAGTTAAGAACTTAAACTATATTTGATTATTAGTACAGTGTTTTTATAATGTTCCTTAGTAAAGTATTAGACCACTTAAAGTATGTTGAATGTTTTTTCTTACAGAAGTTTTGATGTTGGACTACACAATTTTCTGATCAGGTAAGCTAACACTTTATTAAATTGCAATACAACATTAAATGAGGTGGGTCTGTTGTTAGGAGAGTGGATAGCATCAGCTTTATTTGACATTACCTGGCACTAGACTGTGAGATCCTGTTGTCAGCGATACATCACTATTTTCTTGCGTACTCTATGCCCCCCTCATAAGATATGTGCCTCGCTTTTGGAAATCAGAATGAAGAAAAAATCGTTTTCATAATCATGGCTGAATCCTGACTGCAAGGGTTTCTGGTCCATGACTGAATCCTAAATGCTGTTGCTCAGGCAACAGCTAAACTTTTAACTCTCTCATGACCACTCCTGAAGTGGCAGCAGCTTTTGGCTGCTCCACTCTTCCCACTATGACTGGGAAGAAGGACAGCCTGGGTTGCTATTACAGCATTCCTGTGCTGCCATTGCAGTGTCCCTAAGTTTCAATTCCAGGGCAGAAATAAGCTGGCCCACTTAAGACACCCAGCACAGTTTTGCAGAGTTACTTTTTGGGAAAAAGGTGCATGTGTGGGGAGGGGCGTTATGCAAACAAATACAGTATTTTCTTGAATTTAAACTCTTTGGGGTATAGCTTTACAAGTTTGCTTTCTGCCTGCGGCTGAATTTTATTTTGAAAAATTCAGCAAAATGGCCCAGCGTTTTATGAAATAAGAGGAAAATTAATTGTTTACACAGGCATATGTAAAAAAAACAAAAAACCCTTATAAACTTTTGAGTGAGAAACTTGGAAAACTCTAGTGTCTCCATGATTTGGGGCAGGAACATGTCAGAGGGGTTTTCTTTGTGACAAGGATGAGTCTTTGGTTGTTCCCTTGGAATACCTGCTTCCTGTAATATACAGATTGGGCTGCATTTGGGAGAGGAGTCAGAAACAAGGGTGGTGGTGGTTTGTTTGGTTTGAAATTGAAAGATTTGTGGGGAATGAAGCAGTGAATTGCAGGAGGAGAAAGGGGAGATTCTTAGTTAAGGTGTCTGAATACTGCCCTGGAGAATTGTCTTCCATCCTGGTACCTGACACGGAGTTCCATGTGAAGAGGAGCAAGTCAATGAACCCAAACTTTTCACAGGTGGTCATTCTGTGTCCTTGTTTTCTGGCTGCTAGACATAAGACTCCAGGGCTTGATTTAGAGAAAAGCTGAGTACTTATAGCTGCAGTTGAAATCAATAGGAGCTGGGTTTTGAATGCATCAAATGTGACATAATCCTAGGCAGTCAGAGAAATAAGGTCCCAGGAGTCTCAAATTGGGTGCTACAAATTAGTTGACATTTTTGTATTTAATTGCTCTGAGATTCCATTCCCCATATAAAATGTGATAGTAAATAGGCCCTCAGCTCAGTGAAGTGTAGTGCAAATAAACTGATCAATGTTTATAGGACCCAGATGCTGAATTTTTTTTCTGTATTGATTCTTATCTCATGTTCTGCTCCATCATCTGATGTCCTGAGAGCACAGAGTAATGTGACTAACATGTCACATGCTTGTTCTTTTATCTGTTCCCCAGTGGGAGAAGCATGTACAATGAAGCATCCTGTTTTGCTAAGGGGGGTGTTTTGGTTTTTTCTCTTAATTTACTTGCAAGTTAATATGCAGGTTGCTATGTGATAACATTAAGGAAGACAAGCTTTTAAAAATGCACTTTGCACTTTGAGTGGAAGCAGACAAAGTTTGTGATTGTCTTCATTTCCTTGGGAATTCATTCCAGTTTTGGAGCAGACCCCTGGAAAGTTATGTCTCCCACACAGGCAAGATTTACCCTTATTGTGGTGAGTTCTGCTCTGTTAGTGCTCACCTACTGGACATTCACCAGGTTGCTGAATTTGGGTCCTGCCACATGTCCATTGCTGTGAGTAAGCCACAGCACTGTATCTTTCCTTGGTCTCTTAGTATACTTCCTGAGTATGAGGCCTCAGTTTGTTGCCCCTTATGGAAATGGCACCTAGTAGCCCAGCTGTCCTAGGGTCCAGTGCCAATGTTGAACCCTCAGATGGGCCATTGAAGTGCACATTTTGTGGACATTTTGGATTAAATCCTATTTTACTTTCATGCAACTCAGTTGCATAACTGCAACTAAAAAAATAATAGTTTTGTATTCTGCATAAAATGTGAGTGTTGTACAGGAAATAATGTAACAGCATAAGGGGATATAGAATAACTGATCTGTTAGTAGTAATTAATTCTGTATAATAAATGAGTCAGAAAAGTATAATATGGGATCCTGTAATTAAAGTCTGTATCATAATGCACATAGGGTGTGTCTACACGAGCAATGAGCTACTGTGTCATAGCTTGTTGCTACCATACAGTAGCATTGCTACTGTGCAGTAGTAATGAGCTACTGCACAGTACCTCAGGGAAAAAAACGTGTGGCAATGCTACTGCACATTAATGCCAGTTACTGCACAGTCATTTAGTACTTGCTTATGCCTAAGGAAGTACTAAATGACTGCACAGTCCTCTGCACATGTAGACACAGCCACAGGATCTGAGTTCAGCACAAGCAACCTGTATTCTGGCATTTCCTAAATTTTGAGTGGTTGACTTTAACATTTTTAAACATATTTGGGATAGAGCAAGACAGGATTGAACAAAGAGTTTTCTTCACTGAAGCCATACTTTTAAATCATTAGCAGATTTGTGCTTTTGATTACATTTTTCAGAATACTGCATGTTTCTTGTGATTTAGTTAATCATCTCTAGAGATGCATTCACATCTACACTCCTGTTGTTTCATTTTTATTGACCATATGATGACTGATTTTTTTTAAAAATGTCACTGCTGTGAAGGAGATAGAAATTGTTACTGTCTTCTACTACTCATACTGGGATTTCCTGAAAAACCAAATAATCTCATAAGCAAGACTAAAATCACAGGTACTATAGATGCAGTAAACATAAATCAATAATAATGCTTCTGTTGCAAAAGAATCACTTTCAATTACTTTTTATTGAGGAATATATTCAGATATTACTCTTATATACTACAGTATTTTACATCCCACATTGAGATGTGCTTTTGGATTTGTAGTGTGTTTATACAATCACCACACAGCAAACAAACACTGAATTTCAATTAGGTTGAGTGTTTTCTTTCTGGTTTAATACTCCCATCTTGTAAAGCCCACAGAAGGCCTTGTGGAGCAGTTTGGTTTCTACCCTTAATGTTGTGACTGACAAATTTGTGGAGGTTATCAACTACCGTTTATAATTAGCTGAGGGAGGGTACCAGCCATTTTGCCATTTTTGCTATTCATATGCCTGTTCTATTGAGACAGCAAGTCCTTTTTAGATGTTTTCCACCTCTAAGCTGTATTTGTTTTTAATTTTATTACTTAAATGATTGGGAGATACCATGACTTGGCGACTGGGACACTGGACTTGAAATGAGAAGAGCTGGTTACTATTCATGGTGACATGCTTTGTGACATTGGATAAGTTACTTATGTTCTGTATGTGTATATTGTTTTGTTTAGCTAGGCTATAAGCTGTTTTGGGACTATCTCAACTACATGTTTTTCTTGAAGTAATTGCCCACATCCATATTCCCATTTGTGGAGTGTGTGTCATGTCCTGTGCTTTGGCTGGAGACATAACTTTTGGAGAATCCATAAAGTGTGCCCTAGGCCTGCCCATTTTTGTACCCCTGCACCAAGGGGAAAGGACAGTGCTCACTTCCTGCTGCTCAGGTCTGCTGAAGTGCCTAGCTAGAGACAGAGCACTGTGGGTGCAGCTGCAAGGCTGCTCTGATGCACTGTAAATACATGCTGGAACATGATAATTACTGTGCTCCACAGACTCCAGCTTCTTGTGCATCAGTGTCCCCATGCTGAAAAATGGCAGCGGGGACACATTGACTAAAGCTTGTTGAATGAGCTTTAGTTAAAGCACCCCCATGGCCACTTTTAAGCTCAGGGACACTGATGCACAAGATACTCTGTGCACTTTAATTACAGCAGGTCTCAGAGTCATTTTAATTAAAGAACACCCCCCTTCCCCCAGCACGTGTATAAATATCCCGTGTGTCCTAGTGACTTAAGCCTTAGGAAGAGTGAGAGTCTTTTCTTTTCGTTTTATGTGTCCTTGGTAAGAGAGAAATTTGAGATCTCTGATCATGGAGGAACAGATCAGAGATCTGAAAGTGAAGTGGGTCTTTCAGGTGGCTCTAAATTCAGCTGATACTGCAGCCAGATCCATGGCTTTCAGTGGTTAGGAGGTGTAGATCTTCTGGGTTACAGGGTTCTGGTTTCCTGAAGGAGGTCCAGGCTGTTGTATAGGACCTGCCTTTCAGGGTAGGACTTCTATTTAGTTCTGAGAGAGATGAGACTGTGCACTCCTTTAAAAAATCTAAAGCCCTGTTCTGTTCTTTGCGACTGTTCCCCTTCCCTCCTCGATGCTATATCAAATATGATCTATACACTTCACAGAGGAGAGGGTCCTTCCCAACAGCATATGCTGCTGTGCCACCAAAGCAGATTGCCTTTGCCTGAAAGGAGCCCTGAAGAAAATGACAGTGGTCCCACTGACAAAAGTGCCCCACTACACGTTGCTTCTCAACCCACTGATACTCTGCCCTGTTTAGTGGTAGGATTGGCAGTACAGGGTTCCTGTCTCCCTTGCCTCCCTTTCTAGAATTGTTTGGCCAACTTTTACCTTGCATTGGCCCATCTTGGAGTAGTGGGTCCTGGACATGGTAGTGAACAGTCATTCTATCCAGTTTGAATCACTGCCCTCTTAAAACACCTCATTCCACATTCCTTTTTAGTAGCCTTTATCACAGGAATGTGTTGGAAGAAGAGGGCCACTCCTGGCTGGGAGTAGAGAGTGCAGAACAAACCTCCTGACATCTGAGGGGGAAGAGGTCCTACAGTGGTTATTTCTAGTTCTGCCGATGACCAGTCTTGGACCTAAGAAAGCTCACAGATTCATCCTCAAGCTCAAGTTCAAGATGATTTCCATGACAGCCATAATTCCCTCACTATATCAAAGAAAC